AAATAGGTTTGTACAATAAGTCCAAACAAGTTTAACCAAAAAATATTTATTTCTCACAATTATGAAGGCTGGAGGTTAAGGGTTAGGTTTAGGGTTAGGGTCATGTCTGAGTTAGGTATAGGGTTAGGGTCAGTGTCAGGGTTAGGTTTAGGGTTAGGGTTAGGTTAAGGGTTAGGGTCATTAATGTGGGCCACCATAACATCAGTAACAGGTCAGTTTGAAACCAAAGACACTAACCTGTCAAAATTCAGTTAGATTTTGGGGTCTTTGTTTTTATCCTTGTGGTATCGAAAATGGTATCGAATATTTTCCTGAGTATCGGTATGGAGTAAAAAATTTTAGTATCGTGACAGCCCTACTAAAGAACGGGACCTGTGGGAGGCTTGCTGTGTGATGTTTTAGTGTAGCCTGTGCTGCCCCCTGCTGGCAGCTATGGGGAACACACACACCGACACCCCCATGCCCCACACTACTGTATCCTGATGTTAAAGCTGGAGATAGGAAGCACGTGTCCTGAGCAAATGCTCTGTCAGTGTGGATCAGCATTTTTAGCCACGTGGACAAATTAATTAGAAATCAAATTAGAAATCAAGCAGGGCTCAAATAAGGTTATTTGCAGTCATATTAAAAAGGAAAAATTGCTTTTTTGACTGAAAATGTCTGAGCTGAGCCTCATTTATTCACAGATTTAAAGGAATATGAAGTGATTTATTGATACATGTTAAATTATAAATGTAATTAAGTTTAATACAGAGATTATATAATCCGGACAAACTTTAAAGTGACTATTTACTCCTTTATTCTTCAGGAGAGCCTGATCCCTCTCATTCCAATCTCCACTAAAACATCACTCAACTCAATAACATCAAAAAGAAAATCTGTCTGTTTGGAGACAAATTCTTAAAAAGATGAGGGCTCTGGAAAACTGGAAAACCGTAAAACTGATCAAGAGTGAACCTTTTTTTTAACACGACTGTATTTAATTATGAAAAAATGAAAAAAAAAGCTCCTTTGACACCTTAAAAAACCCCAGCAGGCAATCGAAAAAGTAAAATCTTATCTGCACAGTCTCAGATCACTAAATAAAATAAAACATAGGGCTGTTTTCTCACCCCTCTGAAGCTGTTAGAGTAGATACTCTGTTCTCATTTAATCTGAGAACGATATCACACTCAAAAACACCTTTAAAGAAGATGCTATCTCAGATATATATTAAACACACACATTGTGCTGACTTATTTAGTTGTTTTGCATGGTGCATGCAGCTGACATATAAAGCTATTTTTTAAAAACTTCCTCTGGAAGGACTCGGCCTCCTTCTTTAATCTCAGATCTGTCTAAAAAAAAAAAA